ATGTCTCACGATCTGAACTTAAACCTTGTTTCACTTACGGGAGAAGATAAGTTCGACTGAAGCTTGGCGATCTTGATTGGCTACAAAGCCCCTGTTTGCCTGTCACGTTGAATGATCTCACGGAAAGCTGTTCTCCGCTAAAGTGTGATCTGCGAAGGATCTTCAAACCACAAATACGTGCTTTTGTACTCCTTCTGTTACACACCGGTGACATTTTGTCGGTCGCATTCAGAAATGCAAAGCCACAGGACAGTAAGAGAGAATTGCAGCATTTCTGGGTGTGACATCTAGGCGATTAGGAAAATAGCACTATTTTGTTGAAACGGGAGCTTGACCCTTCAATCTTGGGTTAGACAAAATCAAAACACTAAAAAAAAGACAACTTTGGAAGCATTTTGTCTCCGTGATCGATCCGATAAAGTCAGATCAACTCTAAAACAGAATACCAATGTATGCGGTAACATACACGCGTTCTTTGTCTTAAGGTCAAGGGCTATGATAACTAGGAAGGTACCTGACTTGTGGCAAGTGATAAGTATCTCCTTATTTATCGGTACCAAACAACTATGATTATCAAGTCATCCAAGGTGGAATAGTTATTCAACTCTAGAGGGACCGTAATTCCTGTCTTTTTTCTTTTCTTTTTTTTTGGCCAGGGGGGGGGGGGGGTAAGTGTTTTACGGCGCTCGCAACTGCATAAGGTCTCTTGAGCGCGCGGGACACACAAACATTTTCAGCTGGTAGGAAATTTTGACTTTAGCCCGGGTGGCGGCCGAAGCCTACTCTTATCGATTATAGACCACCAAGGGATCTTTAACGTGTGCAACTTGCACTCGTGACCTCGGAGATTTTTTGCCCTGGTCCGAGAACGCTAGGTGTAGATCTTTCTTACCAGAAGATCAGGGTAGTGGCTGAAAGACAGCAGTAAGGAGGAGCAAAGGAGTAGCAGTAGAAAGGCTGCAGAAAGAGTCAGGAGCCCAGAGGAGGGGGCAAAGGAGGTGGGGACAAAAAGTGGAGACAAAAGCAGACGATAGACCATTGCTGGAGAGCAGGAAAGGAGGTGAAATGAGACCATTTCAGATTAGAGAAGAACATTTTTCCGTTGCTACCCGGATTCGAACCCGGGGCCTTTGAAAGAGAGGCGAACACCTTGAACTCTAGGTCATGAGAGCCTCCAATTCCTGTCAGACACTCTGGAAGCCTTACTAGGGGTGATGTGTATGACTTTGAATGACTTAACCTCCCTTGATTTGGCTGATTTGGAGAAATCTTATGTTGTCATCTAGCAACTATAACTATCTCGTTCAAAGTAGCCCAATCCTCAAATGTCGGTATTTTGACCTAATGAAAGCACATTCAGTGTGTGAATTGGGGAGCATATTTTCAGCACAAAGCGAGTTTGCGATTATTAAAAAGAAATGGTACCTAAGCGGTCTTGGTCGATATGCTACTCAGAAAAAAATGGTGAAAAGAATGAGTTGCTTACAGTCTTGTTGTTTTTCATACAGTAGAAATGATAAGAAATTTTGTCCCATCGTATAATGCTTGTGCGATGTCATTAATCAGACCTCAAAAGGTTTGACAATCACAGCAAGACAAAATGATATCCAAGACCATTACATAATTTACCGGACTATTATTCTTTCTAAGACTCGCTTTTATTTGTTTCACCTTCACATCCCCTTCAACAATTTTAACAGGATAAAAGATAGCGTTCAAGTCAAACACTTTTTACAACAAATAACTCAATTACGTTACAGGAAGAGTGGCACAACAGAACGCATAACTCCAATATTTGTGTTCCTACTAAAACGTCGATAAAATGCCCTTATTTTTATAATTAAGTGTCAGTTTTGTTTTAAAACAGCAGCCATTTATAGCGACACCCCCC